TCACCAAAATTCTCCTTTGAGAATGTCTTGCAGGTAAGCACGTTGATTGCCACTTCAACAAACCAAGTCAATGGCTTCAATGTTCATCCAGAAAATTTGCAAAACTCGTTTGTGACGCAACATTTTGAAACTAATCTGACTTACGATAGTCCAATTTTCGTATGTGCCGGTTGCAATCAAGAATATTAGAGATTTGACAAATTCCATGCATGTGATTTTCACGGTACCGTAATTTTCTGATATTACGGTCAATTTCGTCATACCAATCTAGTGCGGTTACGGTTGTGGCAATGCCTAAAATGTGATCTGCAAGATGAATGCGTCACCGTAGTGACTACATAGGCATTTCCGCGTTGTGCCTCCTTGCTGTTTATAGACTTTGACCAATCGTCGAATTACAGCCACAATTTTCTGGGAATATGAAGTTAAAGTACTGTTGCAGCATAATTGTCACAGTTGAACATTCTGCAGGGGGGCTTGTCGTCACCTGGTTGCTCACAGCATGAATTTGAGAAAAAATGTGCAGATGCAGGGATGTCTACATTGGTTTTAGATCTGTTATGCATTTTGAACTTATAGTCGATTTTTCGATGCATTTGAGACTTTCGGTGAAGGTTTCTAACCCAGAATGCCAATCTAACTTCAATGCACAGCAGCCATGATTCTTGAGACCAGGGTTGCTCAGTCCATGTGATCGTCAGATTCAGAACCGAGAGGTTCCTGGTTCGAACCCTGGTTGGGCTACTATCCTTTGTTTCTTCCAAGACTGATAAATGAGTACCACTCTGTGGGAAGTAAATAGCAGACGCTCTGCATGTCACGTTGTTGCTGTCTAATCCGCCTTTGAAATAATGCTCTCTTGGCTGATGGCATGCAGTTGGAGATCGGCGCCCCACCATTAACTCTATGTAACGGATGGCATCAGAAATGACCTCATCATGAAAGTATAAGAAAGACCACAATTTCACGGTGTAAATTTTCCTGATATATAAACTGGTGTATTTCAAATCAAAAAATTAATGGACATTGATAACATGAGTTACAGATTGAAGTATTTGATACTACAAACAATGTTAAATATCGTTGCCTTTGTTTTTACGCGATCAAACGCCGAAAACTTCTTTAAAGTCCGTAGCAACTTGTACGCGAGCGAGCGTTGAACTGACGTCGATTCAAATGCGCACCATGCTTACCGTTGAAAGAGCGTTCGTGTCAACGAGAATGTCTACCTGGGATTTGGCAATTCCTTCGATGCTGAATATGTCCTGTCTGCTGAATTCAGGTCCTGTAACTCGAAATCGGCACACCGCATTGAGGCTACAATAAATTTCATTGCATACGATATTAAGAAGTTTCTTATGCGAATATTCACCGCGTAGGATAAGTTATGCTCTCGATGAAAATCTCCCTAGCCGGGTTTGTGGTGACGATCGGATTGACCTGCAGCGCTGAAATCTAAATGATGTTTTAAATGAAAACGATTAAAAACTAAATTGGTAAAATCAACTCAAAATTTTATGTTATCAAAATTAATCGAATTGTATGGGATTATTACTGTAAAGATTTTAATTAGCAATTTGTGATAAATGTTTCATTTGGCCAGATCTTCTGCCCATGATCCATCGTCCTCTCTTGAAGTACCGAACAGGGCAGAATCCACAGCAAAAGAAAATTTTCAATACTTTCTTCTAGAATTTGCATGGTCATGTCTCAACGCTCCTTCCGTTTTGAATTTTAGCGGCAGTATCTTTTTAATAGACCAATTTTCGTGAATGAGAATAAACACTTAAGTCAATTTCGGTTGTCAAAATTTTCATAGCCAACCGCTTGAGGATCCATGAGAGGTCAGGCAAAACTCAAGGGAAAGGAGGTCGCTTTCGCGATGACGTTCGGTTCCTGAAGTAGTTCATGATTTTTTATTTAATTTTTATGGCAGTTATGGCGATGCTCCCGTCTGTGACAGCCATGAGCGTCATTTGTTCTCAAAAGCAATGTATTTATCCCAACGGTCGCTACACCAAATAATCTTTCGTTTCCTTCCTCATCCACAATTGCACTCATGAAAAACCAGTTGTACTACCGAGACTTCGACTAGTAGTTTTTCAGTGGTCTGTCCCATGCGCTGCCAAGTGAGCACCATGACTAATCAAGAGTATAAACACATGTTTCAATTTCATATTTTCATTAATATTCATTCATTAATTCATTCATATTTTCATAACTTCATATTCACAATTTCAATTTCACATATACACATATTTCAATACACTTCGACTGTCATGCAACTCCAGGTCATGATTACTGTCCTCAATTTGTGCTTTTTTAGACTGTGCATTCCGTGTGCGTCACGCAAAGAGCGATGAAGCGAAGAACGTGCAAGACCTTTTTCCGGGATCCGGGATCACACTTAGAGCGCACAAATTCTATACCGACCTGGATTTACAGAAATGACTTATGCCTGCTATGACGCCAATGGAATTGGCCTCGCCACGCGGCTGGCCTTCAAGACAACTGGTCACTACGTCAAGACTCACAAGCTGGTTTCACCAGACGACGGATATTCTCTCGCTAGTTCAGTTAGATTCGTGGGATGAGTCATTTGGCCAGACAGCAGAAAACAAAGAATACTGGAGGAGGGTCGATTGGAGTCAATGGCCTACCCATAGCGACAACAAGTTAGATGACAGATAACAGTCTGTGTTTTGACCATTGTTTCAGTTTAATAAATACATTATTGTCAAATATAATAATTTGGCAAAAAAGGAGCTAGAAACATGGTAGGGATGCAGCAGATTCTTTCTAGGCCTTTTATATGTTTCCATGAAACGATTACTGAAACTCATTTCATTTCTGTCATCTTAATCATTAAATTTCCATTTCAGTGGTTCCAGACGCATGGAAACAAGCAGAGGGTAGTCTTTGCTAGAAGTGCCAATGTTTTAGCCAAACTATAGTGTTCATCCTCAGGGCAAACAGGTATGGTCAGGCGGTGTCAGCCGAATCATCGGCCATTATAATGAAGAGTGTCAACTCCTGTTTCCTTGTGTCTAGAACCATTAAAGTGGCAATTTAACGTACTCTCCATTTCACAGACCTTCTTCAGGATACACAGCGCTTCAAGCTTCTGTTTTTGCCATTGTATCATTGTCAACTGAGGGGGGGGGAGTACGTAAGCAGATTTACGATGTCAGACTCTTAGAAAAAGCTGTTAAGATTGATATTGGGAAACGTTCACTGATATTGCAAAGGACATATTCTTCACCGATGAGACGTCAGCTCCACTTAGCCGTTGCGAGAATTTGTACTGTCCTTAAACGCTTGGTGGCCGGTGGATGGAGATAAGCTTAGGATATTATGGGCTGGGACTGATCTCGCTCTTGGATTTAACAAGCGTTCAGACATCATATGTGTTTGAAGGTTTTCGCAATAAAAGGCAATTAAAATCTGCATATACTAAATAACAAGTTATGTAAAAATTAGTAAGGTTGTTGCCAAAGCGTTTCACCACAAATTTAGTAATATATCAGAATTGTGCTCAAAATGAAGCTACTGCATTTGTAGCGAAACGCGATGGCAATAAATTATTAACATGTGCTTATAAACAGCCATAAAAAGTATTAATAGTCGAAATGATATATCCGGTCTGATAACATTCAATTGTCTCATGATGACATTTATTCGAAATTCCCTATTGCTTTGAAGTTTATCAACCGAATGCCATTTGTTCCCTTGCAAGAAATTTATGAAAAACTCGAAGGCATCTCATGAACACAGAAGTAGTAAAAGTACGGATTGCATATACCGGCCATTTCTTCGCAATAAATATGCCATTTTATTAATTTTGAGGGCCAAGTGAACCACTGAAGCAGGCTACGGTTGAAGTCAAATACCGGCTGCAACGCATCTACGGAAAACTAACCGTTGTTGAGTCAAAACCATTGTTCAAACCTTCAAGAGATACGGTAACGCTGAGAAACGTCATTTGGCATTTCCTTTAAAATTATTGACTCAAATCGAAGGGTAAATTCAAGGAATTGTTTTTTATTAAATGCAAATTCCCTTGCATAAAGAATTCAGCCTATTATACTTTGGTGCAACCAGCTGAAAAATTGGTCGCAAATTTGTGACAAGAGTACAACGTAGAAGGCATGGTGCTCCGGCTTTTGCGTGATACAGTTTATGAAACTCAAGGTCACGTTGCCTGATGAGTGCACTTAGGAGTACAGTATCTGACTATGCCTGCAAAAGATGTAGCGATAAGATAAAAGTTTATTCTCATTAAAAATGATGACATCAGATTGAATCGGCGAATGCACAGTGTAAAGAAAGAAAAACCTAATTGTTACTTTACACCAGCAGCACTAGTACACGACCCTTTGCTTCTAGATGCCGAGGGGGACCATTTAAGCAAGCGATGGCTCCATGGTATTTAAACGCCTGCAGCGCAGAGGTCGCAGGACCGCGTTTGAAACTTGGGTTGTGCAGAAATATATTCAATCGATGAACATTGCCACGAACCCATTATTCTGGGGAGCTTTCGATACCGCCATTGAGTATATAACATAAAAGTTTATTCTGCCTTTAGGTTTGCATAGTGTAGTTCATGTCAGATTACAAGAATAGCCAAGAAATGTGATCGTTTTGGCAGCAGTGCTAGCCAGAGACCTTTACCAATTAAAGCAAAATCTGGTAACCAATTAACACAGGTTTCTCGAAACGTCACCGGGTTCATCTGAATAACTTCTCACATCACTGCACACAATGTGCTCTGAATGCGAGTGTACAACGACAGACACAATCAACGGTTAGAGAAACTGTTAGAAGAAATCAGAAGTTGATACCTGGCTTAATTTGATAAAGTGTCTCAGAGAGAGAAGGGAAATGAGTCAGCACCTTTTCACTCAGCGAGCCAGCCACTGAATACAGGCCAGTTGGAGGGCAGGGTAAAATGTTAAAACTATTAAACATGTCCTGCAGGTACAACAGCTTGCAACGAGGAACATGGTCTTTGATACAGGAATGAATAGTGATTATAAAAGTCCGTAGCATCACAAATGGGCTACTTTGCTGTTTAAGAATTGTTTTTCTTAGAGACTGTGACAACAACATTCTTAGTTGGCTTTCGTCAACAGGTAAGTCGTCATCATCACTTAAGCCTAAGTAAAAATTGATTATGCTGGACATAAAGAATGGGTTGTTTAACCACATTGACAAAAATTGTGCAGGTGAATACTCCAATTGGTGAGAACTGCTTTACAGTACTGTTTTGGACATAAGGTATCTAAGGTAGTAGATATGCTGTATTAGGAAACCACTGTTTCGAGAAACATTTGCGTTAACCGTTAATCATCGTCATAATGAACTAAGGCAGGAAAAATATGCTAGCATATTTTATTCATGCTTGCTAATCATACGGAAGCAGTATAAATGCGATACACCATGACCTGCCCCCCTTCAGGGATGCCAATTGCCTGTGTGTCATCTAAAGAAACTGTGTTTATGCCGCCTTTAAAAATGCAATTGCATATCAATTGCAGGAAGTTTCAGTTGGTACACAAAGCATAAGATACTGTAGCAGACAAAATGAGATAAAACATAGCTGTCAGAAATGGCAGTTTTCCAATTTCGCCAGTGGATATCACATTTAAATTACAGATGCCGGATTTACTAGGCGAAAATGCACCTTACCGATACTTCTAGTCACCTAGGGGGCAATTACAGCAGGACACTACATCAAAACGTTTAAACATCTACAGTGCATCAGATGTACGACATAATCCCTCATATGAAATCGGTATCAATAATAAAAAATGGTTTATACGTACAGAACTGGACAGCTGTGGTTGGCAAAGGCTACACCAGAATATAAACTTAATGTTTTATCTTGAACAAAATAAAAGAAAGAAAATATTCCATGTTCAGGGACAGATGAAAACGTTATGATTGCACCTGTAAATATAATCCTTTCACTACTGATTACCGAAAACTGCAAAGTGAGGATACCTCCTTCACAGCCATACTTTTGTTAAGTAGTTAATAATGCATGTTTCTTTCGTTTGTATATTTGGCTGCGGATAGAGGCAAATTTTCCTGGTGCCTCTTGTTCCGGCCAGCTCACAGATGCGGCCATCTGATGCGTTGCAGGCGCTTGCATACCATGCAATCATGGACTGCTTAATCTATGGGCAAACAGAAGTGAGGTTGCGGTTCGTTTTCGCCGTGGAAACCTGATACGGTCAATTTAAATGTAGCATACTGTACGATTGCATTCTTTCACATATAAACTGAAAAAAATCTATTCTCTTTTCTGCACCACGACAGGAACGTAGTGGAGTTCTTGATATATCCTGGGCTCCATGAACACCATCGAGGTTGATGGAAAAGCATAGCAGGCTTCGGCAATGCGATTCACAGAATGTGTCCTGAGCTTGATGCAAATTCAGTATTAAAAGAATATTGCTGACACCATGTGTTTTCATTTATGGAAATGGCTTATGTAGAATTATAGATTTTCCAGCTGACGGTGCTATTCTATCAGCATGACGCAGGCGATTTCTTTTCGCAACGTTTCAGATCCTGACCTGGATTCGAACCCGTGAACCTCGTCAGCTACAAGTCCGGCGGTGCACTGAC